CAAAACTCAATCTAAATATATCTGTTTTTGTAGTCAACACAAATATTACGAGTATTGTTTGAAATAGATAACACAAATACTGAATACTGTTGCTCGCGATACTTCAGTAATGTAAGCTTGTCTTATTGGGTTAATAATGATTTATTGATTATTTTGCAACTTTCAGATTACTCACACGTTGAATTATAAATTCCTATGAGTAAAGTCTAACTAACTGCCTCTGCTATAGTCATCATAATGACTAAATTTTATAACATTGTTGTACGAAATGAAAAACATTCATTGAAAGTCAAATTGTTATTTTGTGCATCAGTTACTCTATTGATTGTATGGTTGAATAACATTATACCAAATCTATGTCAGTGGAATTGCAATCAAGATAAATTTAACATCTTATTTCAAACATTCAAATCAATACATCAAAATACATCTATTTCACACCGTTCAGAATTGGATCTTGCTCGAACATTAAATGTCATATATTCTCCTGTCAGTCAAACATCCGTTCAAAAATACTCATTGAGATTTAGTCTGGAAGAAAATAGACTGCAGGAATTATACAATTCATTAAGTGGGAATAAGAAAGTAAGTTGATCGATTGAATAAATTTTCGAATATTGAATTGAATGAAAAAGAGCTTTCTTTTAATCAGTTTTACCAATCTATCATTGATTTTTTGAATGAATCTGAATTACATGTTCGGGAGATTACATGATGGTTTATATCACAGTGATGCATTCACCTAGTGAGATGAAAATTTCAGTGTTAAGAAATATTACTTTGATTCGATGTTTAAATGCAAAATTTTCTTCCTAGTCATTGTTGTACTATATGTGCTCATTAGCTAAGTGAATAACGTGATGGAGTTTGAAACAGACGATACTAGTTTCGAAACACACAGTGAACATCGAATATGAAGTGTAGGTAAATCCATCTGATAAGAACATGTCCTGAATTCCACTACTAACCACATTCTATCTGTTCTACATAAGCTTATTTCTTAATGGCTATATCAATGTGATCCATCGAACTACTACTACTACTCATCAACCATATCAACAACAAGACATTCCTAACAAATCTAAATCTGAAATGTAATGCTCAAGCAGTTACGAAAATCGACATATATACTGACGTTGTACTCTGGTTCCAGGTGAAGACGTTTCTCAAATATGGAAATCGTTCAATTTACACACCAATGAACTTTTCACAATGTCATGCCTCAAAATGTACAGTAGTCACTGACGAGAACAGATGGCAAGAAGCTGATGCTCTGATAATCACAGGAGGTAAATTACCAGTTGGAATTCGGCCACCAGGGCAGTTGTGGTTTACTTTAATTCAAGAATCTCCATTACATATTCCAATTCCAAATTTTTTCGAAAATGAAGTGAGTTGTTTTGGTTATTTAGCATTGATAATGTTTTTCTTTACAATGTTCCCATAGGTCAATATATACTATTTAATATTATATTGAACACTTGCAAAATGGTCCTTGATAGTTACATGAATTTGCAAACATAAGAATGAATTTATGTTACTTAACTACTAATTTCATCAATGTAAAACTTTAATTCACAGAAATATTTCATTGTATGAAGTGTATGGGTTTTCGTAACATACTCAGTCATACATTGTGCAACTTCGATAGGTGTCTAGCAAAATATACAAAACTGAGTTGAGTTCGTCTATTCATTGAAATAATCTTTATTTTGATAGTTTGATTTAAGATTAATTGTAAGGTTATTCAATGCATAATTTATCATAGAATTTCCGGTCAAAGTTTATGATCCGAGAACCACATCTATTAATTGCAATTACTAGTTACAGTTTAATTCATGGTTGTTTATGTAATTTCTAATCGGAATTCCAACTATTCAAATGAAAGTAATGTTTATTTTTCAGTGCAATTATAAAGCGATTCGTTTCACCCTCACAAAATTTCATTCGACATTCCTACTTGTTATGAATAAGTTTGTACTTTCGCATCAGTTTGGTAAGAAAGTATTATTCATAACAGGTAGTTGAAAATATTCCCTAGATGAGGTTCTTCTTTTGCTAATGTTGACTTCCAGTCGGTAGATGTTTTAACATCGATGTTTTTATTGTACTTCTTATACAAACGGTCATTTTTCACCTCAAGTGGGAATAAACCTTCTCGTTATTCTGTGATTTATGAATGCATTCATAAGATGAGCACCAAAATCAAAAGAGACCTACTCATATTCATGGCCTTGCAAATGAAATCACTTAGAGAGAACGATTGTTCACAACTTTTTGAACTGTGTAGATCCATGAATTCATTTGAATTCCCGATGTTTTTATAACTTCCAGTCATAAATAAATTATCAGGAAGTCTAAATACTGAATTTCTTATAATGACGACATTCAAGTGAACTTTGCTGTCGTTCTATAACTTCGAAGATAATCATCGATAATATAGTCCTGTATAATTTTCAAAACACTATCCGTACATCAGTTGTTAACGTTTGTTAATTGTATAGTACAAGTTCAAAAATGGCCATCACAATACTGCACTTTTATTTAGTATACATTTCAATGCCTAACTAACTTGCTCTATTCTAATAGTATTCATTTGCTTATAGCGAATACTATGTTTGATGCAAATGTAGTGAATAAGTAAGCGGTATTCCTTGTTGTCCCATACGGACGTATACAAATGTTCGATATCCAAGTGAGGAGATCAATCGAATGCAATGTTATTTACCCTTTACATATCATTCATCTAACTATTTCAAACATCATCTTTGGTATCGCAGTTGTATCCATTCAACTTACTGGCACTGATAATCAGACTACATAAATGGCAGAGTTCATTGATCACATACTGTTTGTTCACGAATCAGATTGATATGATGTTTGATATACATCACATTTTGAATATGATGCGGAACATTGTCGAAAACCAGGTATCACTGGCAGACGATTATTCCCAGTCTCAGAAATTTGAGCAGTGATCACTCACGACTACACCACCGATCGTGAAAGAAACATTTGAGTCTGTACTGTCAGTCTACGATGTTCAACTATAAAATTCAACAATCTCCACAAATCGAAACCCTTAACTAGTTAATTCATGATATTTTCACCAGCTTTCATTCGTATTAATATTCATAATATCATTCTACATGGATTTGTTTCTCGAACATACAGGTGAATTTCACCATATCGTTTCGCTTGGATTCAACAATTTATTCACCGTATGGTTCCTATGAACCGCATATAAAACAACATGGACCAGAAACACGATATCCTCTGCCTTCCAAGAACTTCGCCAAAAATAAAACAAAGAAAGTTGCATGGTTGGTGAGTAACTGTGTGCCTAAAAGTCCTAGAACAGAGTATGCTGATGAACTCTCACGATATATCTCGGTGAGTTTAACAATGCTTAACTTTATGTTTCTGCTAGATTTTTAATTATTCTAACGAAATGAGTAATTCATGAAAGCCGAAAGGGATACACAAAGTAGGGTGCAACATTTGTCCCTTTAAATCAATTATTAATGTCAGCCATTTTCTTATTTACAATGGCTTGAGAAGAAACTATGATGGATTTGATCAGAAAGTTGTCATGACTACTGACGTTAAGTGAAACAGAAACGGACAAGTAATAATTAGAATACAGATGAATAAGATTGGCGGACGTTTTTCTCGGAACGTTGCATGAAGTAAACATTAAATTCTATCTTGATTTTTTGAATATGAAGTCTACACGATAATATATTGTGATCACAATAGGTCTGCATTAAAATACAGATTTAGAAAATATTAACTACTGATTCATTGGTTCACTGAATTTTCGTTATTTCAGGTAGATATTTATGGCGAATGTGGCACATTGACATGTCCAAAGAATAATTCAACTAATTCGGAAGAGATTTGTTGGAAACTAATCCGTGAAAATTATAAGTTTTATTTGAGCTTTGAAAATAGTTTGTGTACTGAATATATAACTGAGAAGCTGTATAGAAATGCCCTGAAGTAAGTTGTTTGGCATATATACTGCATTTCACTATAGTCACAGTTATCTATATGATAATAAGCATCCGTTGTTGTTATGCTAGTCAATTGATATGCATGAAACTATTACAAGTTGACCTCCGTCGGTAAACGAGAACGAAGACAATGATCCAGTGACACGATAGGCTACTCTAATCCCACCATCTCAAAGACCTGAAAACTGTATCGAAAAGTGTTGATATGGCGTAGAAAGTGTATTCTACAAGCAACCACGAAATATGAGGTCCTCAAGCTCACAAACAGTGTGGATGTACACATCATAGAAACGTCCTTAGGAGAGCCACAAAATCAGCTTACAGAAATAATGCATCAACCAGTGACGGTCAAACATTTTCCAGGTGTGAAACATAATCTCTAGGTCAACTGATCAGCAGATCAATAAAATCCGAAATTAGTACGTTTAATCAAATGAGTTCCGGCGGTCTAACATCCTCAACAATTGTCTTAAAATGACGAAGCACTGCAAACCAATCATTTGAAATCGGCTAGATAAACATCATTGTAACGAAGTAGTGATGACCTCTATGATGAACTCAAAGAATCTGAACCTGCCAAAGAGATGAATACGTGTCATAACTTTTGTAAAATGAAATTGAAACTGAGAGTCCAAATGAAAGAATAATTTTGGTTTATTTGTGTTTTATTTAACTACCGGTCAATAATTTTCTGATGGTTTGAACAAGGTAGTAGTAACAGGGGAAGTAGCAGTAGTAACAGTTGGGTCTATCAGTCAGTTATTATATCAATAGGTACGTTGCCTTGATTCAGCCACCTACAGCATGCCCACAGCCGAAATGAGGTCAAACTGTAAGTGTTATGGCATTAGTGACAATTTAATCTAGCCGGTAGATTGACATGCCTGTTGTAACATGCTGTTATTTCTAATTAATAGAGACAGTTTTTTGTAGTAACGTTTCGATGAATTTTGATGAACCAAGATACTTTTTATTTGTTTCAAGAAACGAAATACTCCCAATTGTAATGGGTGCCTCCATCGAAGAATATCAAAGAGTTGCTCCTCCATACTCTTTCATTCATGTCGACCAGTTTGAATCACCAGCTAAACTGGCAGACTATTTGAAATATTTGGACAAAAACGATACTGCATACAATGAGTACTTTGCATGGCATGGTCATGGAGTAATTCATGATTACGATGCACAACCTCAATGTGCAATGTGTCTACTAGCTCATACAGCTCCTGCATTTGGTCCATATTGGGTTCCGAAGGTGACACAATGGTGGAATGATGGATGTAATGGTCGGAGATTGCGTTGGAATCCATGAAATAACGATATTGACAATAAAAATAAACCTTCTTTATGTAACCATCAGAGTTAGTACAACTTTTCTTTTTTATTTGATCATTGGTCAGAATCAAAGTGTATTTAGACAGTTTAATGACTGAATCTTCCTAAATAGAGTGTGGTTTGTCGTTGATAGGTCTATCGACTATTTACGTCAGGTCTGCAAGCCTCGATACTTGCTTGTTTGCTTCTTTGTATAGATCTTGTGCCGCGGCTCTATCTGCTCTTCTTCGGCTGATATAAATAGCAACCTTCGTGTCTTACCCATAATATTAAAGTAAACTATTTCTCTTGATGGTGCTACCAGTGGCCCAGAAATTCATGGCATTTCGAAGATCATGCTTCCTTGATATTTTTTTAAAACACCTCATCATAACATTCGAGTTGTGTGCATGTCAGTAAAATCGGATAGAAAGGCGTCATGATATATGTTTAAATCACAAGTTGTTTATCTGTACATTTGTAAGTTAATAACAAGACAAATTAGAATGTTGGTCAGTTATTGAAATCACTGACCTAAATAAATTTGTATCATTCGGTTAGATGAACCATCAGAATACAAGTAATCGTACATGCTCTTAAGTGATGTCTAAATTACGGTATAAGTGAGTTCTACACGGAGGAATTATTCAGTGAACCTGATATGTTGTGTTCGGCCGAAGGATATTGTTGCTGCCTTTCTCCATTCTTCATTTAGCTAAGAAAAGTGACATTTGAAAACAGTATAATTCTGCTTTGCTCTACACACGTCAATAGTTAGATATATACAGACAAGTATTCTGAGGCAATCTTGGTTTCATGTATATTAAATATAAATATTACACGTTGCGTCGTTGTTAGGAGACACCCCATAGATCGCTTTACATACTGACTGTCTCAAGTAAGTTTACATTGGAGCCTAGTCTTCGTTTGTGAATTCGTTTTTAAGAACACAAATTACGGAATCGAGAGAAATACTTCAGATGATTTACATGTAAATAACAAATGAATGTGTTGAAACGATGATTTATTAATTCTCTGTCAAAACTATTGAAGTGGTGATCGTGAAGTTGATTTGAATATCTGGTTCTGTTTTATTTTGTCTCGAATTATCAGTTTTTTTGAGAAATATTTACATACAGATTTATATTATTTATCAGACATGAACTGCATAATGAACGTAAAATTAAGGTCTAAAATTTGAACTAAGCAGTCGAGAAAAGTGCCGAAAGAAAGGAATTTCTTTATTTCATGTCAGCGTCTTCTAACCTTCAAACGATAATTGATGTCCAATTACATAATCTTTCTCATTTACCAGTCCGTCCATTACCTTCGACAGTATTGGTAGAAATGCGATTAGTTTGTAACTGGCTGATCTTTTCTATCTCCCGCTTTAACGATTGAAAAGAGAGTAGCTTGTTTTCATTCTGCTGGGAGCCAGTTTGGCTCTAATGACTTTCTTAACAGGTCACATACGGGTAAATGAAGGCTTCTGGACACTGTTTCGAAACAATAGGGTGAATACTGTCATATCTAGGTAACCTTCCTGGGTGCAAGCGTTTTAGTTTTCTCAGTACTATGTCAGGAGTGATTTGGATATTACCTACTCCGTCAGTTGACACAAGGTTGGCAGAAACCTCATTTGACTGATCGGTGAAGTTGGTGGTAATGATCTCAGACATCTTTGCCGTTCGGATCTGTTAAGACACAAACACTTCGGCTTTTAGGTTTTGTTTTTGTCTCGAACCCAAACAGATATTTTGACTTCGTATGTATTTCGAAAATTGTCTCAATTAATTTCGAACTTAGCACTACATCTGTTTCTCAATGTCAAGTAAGAGGAACGACGACCGCGAAGGTAAGCTCTGAAACCTAGTCGAAATTCATGCAATTATTCTGATTGATAATTCAAGAGTGAGAAGAACAGTAGAATAGGGTAAGCTTGTTTATTTCATGAATTTCGGTCATCTCGCAATGGACTTTTATAATTGATATTACCTACAGTATTTCTTAATGACAAATTCGAATAAAGCAATCACAATTAACGTAGCAGAAAAACATGATTTCATTTTATTCCAGTTTCTTGTCAGCTGTTTACAACAAAGACATAAAATCATAAGGTCAGAAACGTTTCCATTTGTGAAGAATAATGAACGATCAATAAGGACTACAATATATATCAGAATATTCTGAAATAAACAACTGAGGACAGGAAGATAAAATACGGAGATTGATAACTGACGAATTTTTTAAGCAGAGATCTGGTTTGAATCCTCCTATAAAAATCGCTTTAAAGGACCGTAGTCTATATGATATTCTTTGTTAAGCAATCATCACGTAGAAACTCAAAAGGTTAAAATCTGGACCATCCTATTCGCCTATGAACTTGAAGATTCCATATTAGGGCTTGCCTTGTGACGCAGTTGGATGCTCTCCTCAAGCATTTACTGTCCACACCCAGTTTCCTGATTTCCGACTTAGCTGTGCTCTGCCACTGCAGGTTGTTCCTGTTGATGTCCGACTAATAGATTCCCAGTTTCTCGAGTAGTTCATTGTTAATAAACACCTGTATCTTGTGAATGATGACTTTTGTAATTCCCCAAGATTTCACTTATTACAATTGAACTGTCTTAAAACGTTTATCGAAGATTGTGACATTGTTGTTGGCTGACATTTGTTTTCAGTTCCATCTGTGTCTACATGTACATCACATTGCGCAGTTATGTAGCGGTTTCCATTTCTCCACTAGCAGTCCTTCCTGTACTAAGCCTGGATACAAGAGAACTATTGTGTATGGAGTGAACAGTCCCATCCCATAGAAAACAAGCTAGTTAGAAAAACAATCATCAGGATTGTAATCCTTAAAGTCGTGTATTCTATCAACTTGAGATATTTTAGATTTAATCATGGTCTCAAACTTACACTACAATCTCTGTCCTATCAGTTGTGGGCAACATGGATGAATTACCTGTTGATCTCTTATTGAAATTGTAACACAGTGTGTTAGACAGGCTAATCAGCTTGAATCCAAGACAATTTCTAGCCAGTATGGCTTTCATTTCTCTGCTTGTTGTGTCTATAACATTGTCACCTTTGAACTCAAGTGTAACTGAATCAGGTGTTTTGGCTTTTTGTTTTCACTTTTTCTACGTGTCTCATGAAGTCTCTTTGGATACCTAATGTTCCTTCGGCATTAAGTGACGTTCAGTGATTCTGATTCTGGTGCACCAGCAATACATATAATTTTCATTCTGTTTAACAGTGTTGTGATAAGTGCTTTTGTTTGCAGATGACGTAAAAACATAGAAATTAGGTAGTCACATCATCGTCATTCTTCAGTTACATAAGAAGCCTAATGTGTTAGCAGCGTGGATAGATGCACTCGCAAAGGCTTTCAACTAAACCATGCAGGTTAAGGAACGTTCTGGATAATAAAATAAACTGATCTCCTCTATTGTTTAGCTCTTCCGGATTATGAGGGTTCATTCACAGAATTACTTACTTACTTACTCACTTACTCCTGTTACCCCCAATCGAGAATAGGCCGCCCACCAGCTTTCTCCAACCAACTCTGTCCTGCGTTTCCTTCTCCATTTCTGTCCAATGTTTGTTCATTCCTCTCATATCTTTCTCTATTTCTCGGCGTAATGTATTCTTTGGCCTTCCTCTTTTCCTTTTGCCTTGAGGGTTCCATGTGAGGGCTTGTCTCGTGACGCAGTTAGGTGCTTTTCGTAGTGTGTATCCTATCCACTTCCATCGCTTCTTCCTGATTTCCTCCTCCACTGGAATCTGGTTTGTTCTCTTTCACAGAAGTTGTTGCTGATGGTGTCTGACCAACAAATCCGAAGCGTTTTGCAAAGACAACTCTTCATAAGTACTTGTGTCTTCTGGATGATGTATTTCGTAGTTCGCCAAGTTTCCGCTCCATACAGTAGAACTGTCTTGACATTTGTATTGAAAATCCTGTTTTTCGTGTTGACTAATATTTGTTTGGAGTTCCAGATATCTTTCAAGTGTAGAAATGCAGCCCTTGCTTTGCCAATCCGTGCCCTCACATATGCATCAGATCCACCTTGATTGTCGATGATGCTGCCAAGATATGTAAAGGCATCCCCATCAACAATGATTTGATTGGTACATGTTGTGTTGCATCGGAGAATTTTGCTTTTTCCTTTATGTATGTTGAGACTTACTGCTGCAGAGGATGCTGCTACACTGGTCGTCTTCTCTTGCATTTTTTGTTGCGTGTGCGATAGAAGAGCCAAGTGATCTGCGAAGTCCAGATCGTCCAGCTGCATCCTAGCTGTCCACTGAATACCGTGCTTCCCTCCAGATGTCGACGTCTTCATAATCCAGTCGACGACCAGGAGAAAGAGAAAGGGTGAGAGTAAGTAACCTTGCCTGACACCGGTCTCCACCTCGAAAGAGTCTGTTAGCTGTCCATCGTGTACGATTTTGCAGTTTAATCCATCATAAGAATTCCGTATGATGTTAACTATCTTCTCAGGTACACCGTAGTGTCGAAGAAGCCTCCACAGTGTTTTCCTATCCACGCTATCGAATGCTTTCTCGTAGTCAATGAAGTTGATGTAGAGTGGTGAGTTCCATTCAACTGATTGTTACACAATGATCCGTAATGTAGCAATTTGGTCAGTACACGATCGATCCTTACGAAATCCGGCCTGTTGATCTCGAAGTTGGGCGTCGACAAAGTCCTTCATTCTGTTTAACAATACCCTGTTGAAGACTTTGCCTGTTATTGAGAGAAGAGTGATGCATCTGTAGTTCTCGCACTTGCTGAGATCGCCTTTCTTTGGTATTTTGATCAGGTATCCTTCTTCCCAGTCTGATGGTTCTTGTTCCTCATCCCAAATCTTCTTGAAAAGAATGTGAAATATTTTCGCAGTTGCTTCTACATCTGCTTTCATTGCCTCTGCTGAAATGTTGTCGGGTCCTGCTGCTTTGCCGCTCTTCATTTGTCTGATGGCCATACTGATCTCCTCAATTGTAGGTGCGCCAATATTAATTGGGAGGTCCGTGGATGCT